TTGTGTTCCCAGTGGACTGTAAGAGTCATAAAAGCAAGGGCTATGTTCACATTATTTGCTACACTACTCCCAGTGCCCAGCACGGTACTCAGTTCGACATTCTAGTATTTGCTGCTCATGATAGGCAGCTGGGAGACTAAATGGCACATTTTTAATGTCAGTTTCCTTCCTGGCTTTTTTTTAGGTTAACTTTCCCAGTGATTTCTGTGTCTGTTTCTCTCTATTACTCTTTTGATTTAAATATATTATATCATGATCCTGTTCTCTTTGCAAGAGAAAGACATGCTCACTGTAGTGAATTTCTCACTACTGACTTACCACATTATATCTTGTTTTTTTTCCAGTGTAAGTTATCTAAAACTTTAGAGGAATAAGCTAGAGGTAGAAATAAAATGCACATAAGTACTAGAGTAAAATAAATAGGAGTCACTTCCTTAAACATTTATCTGTTATCGAATGGACATTTTTATAGTTACTTGGTTTGCACAATAAAGACGAAAATTGTTTTGGCAACTGGCATCAGATGTGAGGACTACATACACAGAATGGCTTGCTATTTTTACTTTTTACAGGGCAATATGAACCTATGAGGAAGTGAGTACAGAGCTCTCTTTATGCTTGTATCTGTCATAGATTTTGCACAAGTAAATATTGTTGTATCCCAAATAGTACAATAACAAGAACAAGAAATGGGATTATGAGAGTTGTAAGTGGATATTTAAAAATAATAATTTGCAGGGGGAACTAATCACGGAACCAAAAGGAATAGTATTGAATACATGAAAGTTTACATTCTCAAGAATATATTTGCTGGTCTTCCCTGCCCTCCCAGAGGCCAACCAAGCTTTGCAGCTAATAGTTTTGATGTTTCTCAGCCGAAAGAGGAGAGCAGAGTCTCTGTGCTGCCAAATCTAAACTAGTCCTTAATACACTGTGGAGAGATAGGAAGCTCTCAGTTCTAATTTCACTAAATACATATGAGTTGCAGGTTTAGTGTCTCATCAAAAACAAACTCTGGCTAAGAATTTATTGTTCATACAAACAGCTCTTAGAACCTCAACTATTAAGACTTTCAGTGACTTAAAAAATGTTAATGTGTCACTTCTTAGATTGCTACTTCCTGGCTATGAAACAGTGCTGAATTTGCAATCCTTCTCAAAAGCCAAAATTAAGCACTATGTTCTTAATGTTGACAAGGGACTTTGGATTTTCATTCACAGTTTTATCTACTAAGAATGGTGCAGGAGAGTTCTCTGGGACATGAGATACCCTTGAAACATTTTCTCTATTGATTATTTTTAGGAAAATGAGAGATGAAATTAATGCAAGTGAGCATCTAAGTTTAAAAAGACATGATTCTATGAATATTAAAATAATGTCAATTAGTATATAATTTCTCTCTTCCTTGAATATTATTTATTCAAATGATACCTACTCATGCCACTGTGACCTCCAAGTTGGCTAATGAGTATTCCAAGGGTCATGAGTCCTGGAATTTACTTATGAAGGATTCCTACCAGAAATCAGTAATGTTGCATCCAGAATTTAAATGATCTTTTTAGCTTATAAAAGTACTCTATTTATGCTTAATATTTTAAAGTAATTTGTTAATTGCCTAAAAATGAGATAGACTGTTTTTTTAAAAACAACTATTTATAGTAAACAAGCATTTTATTAGTCATTAATCACAGTTTTTATTTTAAAATGTTTTTATTTTCAGTGCAATAAAACTCAACACGTTATTTATTGACTTTGTCTATTTAACCTTTAGAACTATTCATTCTAATCACTCCCCTTAAGTTTTGTCTTATCAAGTAATATGGCCATTCAGCAGGTTTGCTGAGTAAACTTTGTCAAGGGCTGATAAATTCTTAGCAGTAACTATGGTGTGAAAATCAAAGGGTTCAAGTGGATAAATGTTTGAGAAATAATGTGCTGCTTTCCATATACATAAATAATACCATGAATGCCATACCTGGCCATGAAATTTGGAGATTCCTTCATACTCTTGCAACCTCAATATCCACAGATATGTGCAGATGTGCATGCATGCACACATGTGCACATACATGTGCACACACAGCATGATAGTGAAGGGGCAAATGCCCTCTCATTCTGATAACTGGTATGTTGAGCAGGCACAGGCTTCTGGCCACAGGAGTCATGCTCTCTCTAGTCTAATCAGTCAGACTTACCAGTTCAGAAAAACTTTTGGAAAGAAAAGCTTAAAAATCTTGGATTCAGAGTGTCATTCTTCACCGTGACTCTAATAATTGCATAGATTCCCTAATTTTAGCACCAAACTATACATCTAAAGACTTGGGTTGTTATGATCTCTGGGGGTTTGTTTCTTATAAAATGATGAGGTTGGACCCAGTGAACATTTAGATTTATTTAGCCATAAGAAGATATGACTTTATGATATTTATATGTTTTTTAATTGGCATATAATACATTGCTCTACACAGGTGATAGTTACCATAAAGTTAAGAGTTCACCGATTGGAGCCAAACACGTTTGCCTGTGAATTCCAGCTCTGCCCTTTAGTAACTGTGTATTTGAATTTGGGCAAGTCATTTAACTTCTTGGGCCTGAGTTTTCCATGCCTATAAAATGAGATAGTGTATTAGTTTCCTAGGGTAATCATAACAAATTATTGCAAACTAGGTGACTTAAAATAATAGCAATTTATATTTCTACATACTTATTTTTATGTGCTATAAGAATGTCTATATATATAATAGACCTAACAGCAAAGTTAGGAGCTCTCGTAGCATAGTGGCTAAAGCACTTGAATGCTAACCAGAAGGCTGGCAGTTCAAACCCACCAGCCACTCCTTGGAAGGAAGGTTGGGCAATCCTACTTCCGTAGTGATACTGCCTCAGAAACCCAAGGAGGGGTCGCTATGAGTCGGGGCCGACTCGACGGCACATAACAACAACAACAGCAGCAGCAGCAAAGTTATGATAACTTTTTAGCCACATCCAACCCCCCCCATTGTTGGACCTGTGGACTCGGGACCATGGTTGTAGGGGACATAAAGCTCAATTGGCATTAGATACTACACAAAAACATTGTCCCACATCCTACTTTGGTGAGTGGCAACTGGAGTATTTGAAGATTGCAGGTGGCCATCTAAGATGCAACAATTGGTTGCTTCTCCTCTGGAGCAAAGAAGAATGAAGAAAACCAAAGACACGTAGAAACAATTAGTCCAAGGGACTAGTGGACCATGCAGACTTTAGCTTACCTGACCCTGAGACCAGAAGAACCATATGGTACCCAGCTATCACTGTCAAACATTTGGAAAGGGATCAGTGCAGGAGATCCTGGATAGAGTGGGAGAACATTGTAGAACAAAATGCAAAATCATAAAAAGACCAGGCTTCATGGCCTGATGAAGACTAGTGAAACCCCCAAGACTATGGCCTTCAGTCACCCTTCAGGCCTGGAATTTAACTCCTGTGGCTTCCAGCCAAACAACAGACAGGTGTATAAGGTGAATATTTATACAAGGTAGGTACACTCTTCAGAACAATCAACCATGGGAGATCAGAAGGGCACTATTTGCACAGGGAGATAGTTCAGGGGGCAGAAATGCATAGGAAAGGACACAGGGAAGAGGTAACTACAGGGGGGGAGTGGGAAGAGAGCTGTTACATTATGGGGATTGCAATCAATGCCATGAAACAAAATGTGTATAAACTGCTGCATGGAAAATGAATTTGCTCTGTAAACTTTCACCAATGCCGTGCCCATCCCCCCAAAATAGAAATGTATTCTCTCACAATTTTCTGAAATTAAGATGTTGATGGAGTTGGTTCCTTCTGGAGGCTCTGAGGAAGAACCATCCCATATGTCCCTCCTACCTTCTGATGGTTGATGACAGTTCTCAGTGCTCCTTAGCTTGTAGATGCGTCAATCCAATGTCTAGTTCCATCTTTACACTATCTTCTTTTCTGTATGCCCTGTGCTGCTGCTTGTAAGGATTCTCATTTAGGACTCACCCTAATCCAGTATGAACTCTTCTTGACACATACCTTAATGACATCTGCCAAGACCCTATTTCCAAAGAAGGTCATATTCTGAGGTTCTGGGTAGACAATGGATTTTGAGGACACTCTGGTAGCATAGTGCCTAAGGCACTTGACTGCCAACCAGGAGGCTGGTGGTTCAAACCCACCAGCCACTCCTCGGAAGGAAGGTTGGGCAATCCTACTTCTGTAGCGATAACTGCCTCGGAAACCCAAGGAGGGGTCACTAGGAGTTGGGGCCGACTCGATGGCAAATAACAACAACAACATTACACTATGTGGGAGCTCTGGTGGCGTAGTGCCTAAGGCATTTGACTGCTAACCAGAAGCAGCCACTCCTTGGATGGAAGTCTGGGCAATCTACTTTCATAGTGATACCACCTCAGAAACCCAAGGAGGGGTAGCTATGAGTCAGATCTGATTCCCTGGCAGTGTGTTGCATTTGTTTTGTTGTTATTACACCATGTAGAGTTCTGGTGGCAGAGTGGTTAAAGCATTCAGCTGCTAACCCAAAGGCCAGATGTCCAAACCCACCAGCTGCTCTGCAGGAGAAAGATGAGGCAGTCTCCTTCCATAAACATTTACAGCCTTGGAAACCCCAGGGGGCAGTTCTACTCTGTCCTGTAGGGTTGCTGTAAGTCAGAATCAAATCCATTCTGGTTTGGTTTGCGGTTATTACACTACACCTTCTACAGACAGTAATGGTTATCTCTCAACTTTGTTCAGAGGATAAAATGAGATAATTTGTAAAAGTTCCCAGATCAGTAACCAGTGATGTTTATTACTACAAACTGTTCAAAATGATTTAGGACCCATATCCAAAAAACACAAAGACAGGAAGAGCCTTCTCTGTGTTTTTAGTTTTTTCATTATGCTACACTTTGCTGTCTTGAGGTTTTATGCATAAATCAAGCCTCAAATAAAAGAATACTTAAAATTTTATTTTTAATATCAATTTATTGCAGGTAGTGAAGACAGCCGTATTTGCACTTTGCAACAAATAACAACTGTGACTGAACAAGCGAGGCAAAGTGAAGAAAACCCTGCCACTCCTCAGGCAGCCAGGGGAATTGAGTCATCCCGAGGTGAAGTAACAACATGGAGCCAGGATTCTGCATTTATGGGACCCGAGGAGCCGTCCTTCCACTCGGGAATTCTGCGTGCAATGTCCCGGCAAGACGTTCGGGCGGAAATATTTCTGTGGAGCTTTCTCTTGTGGTCTGACACAATTGAAATGCTGCGAGTGGCAGGTCACCCCGCTGTGTACAAGTCCGGCTGGTTGTATCCAGTCTACATATTTAGTTTTATTTCTCTGCTTCGAGTTATATTTACACCCAAAAACCCTCTTCTGAATTCCCTGGGCATCCTGTTTCAGGATTTGCCCTTCATTTTTGTTCGACTTAGTTTAATCATTGTTCTGGGGACCATCACCCCCGTGCTAGGTCTTTGTAAAAATGTGCTGGTAACTCTCTCTTATATTTACTTTAATCACTTAACCAAACTCAGAGTGTTTTCTGCCTTCGAAATGTCTTAATCTGAAAAGAAATGGTAATGTAGTAAAACCTCTTCATGTATGCATGTGGGAAAATTTGTAACAATTTTATCTGTTGCCCACCCTTTTGCACTCACTATATGAAGAAATTAAGAATAGATTGTAAAGAAAAAATTGATTTTTAATAACTGTAGCATATCAATTTTTATGTATACAATTGGTGCTAAATTAAACAGTTACATTCTTACAAACTGACTTCCCTGAATCTCTAAAAAACGTTGTTAATTAATTTTAGCTATGTATATTTCACTTTTTCTGAAAAACAGTTTTCAGGAAAGATTTTTTAAAAATGAGAACAGTTGTCCCACTGTTCGTCCACAAATAAGATTTTTATCATTTATATCAATTAAAGACCATTAAATGAATGCATTCAGGAAGGCATTTGGCTGCTGCGGTATAGTAAATTACTTAGTGTGGCTTTTCTACCCATAAGTCTTTGTAAACTCCAAGGTGGGAATTGCTATTAGCAACTGAGGAGATCCTGATT